AAAACATACAAAACATGGAACTAGCACACGAAATTGCCTTGAATCCAGAGTTTAAATTGCAACCTTATGAACCACCGGAGAACAGGTATACCAACACAATAATTAATAATATAAGTAAATCCAGTGTTGAAATTAAGGAATGTTTTCCACAAATTTTAACGCAGAACAATAAACTCATACTGGATCAAATTAATGAGATTTTGGACGAATCTGTTATTCGCCAGCAAGCCGAGAAGGGTGTACTCGACTTTAAATCATATGCCGATTTTATTATTAAAATCATGGGTAAATCATGTGCACCAGCCAGAGATGACGACATTAAGAAGCTTACACAAATCGAAGATGTAGTTGATATGTTCAAAGGCATTTTGGATACAATGGCTCTCATGAAATTGGACATGGCTAATTTCCTATTAGACTTCTCCCGAAATGCTATTATGGCAAACTCAGTGGAGTATGAGAAACAGAAATTTAATGAATATTTGGAATATTATAAATGTACGTTTGTTTTATCACTCTTTTATGAAAATCGAATGACTTAATTTGTTTAATTTGTTTTTAGTTGGCTTTCCCGCAACGGAAAACTGGCTTCAACGCAATCTCTCTCCCACCTCAAGTGGCACATCTGTAACTGCAGATCAAGCTATGTCCAATGCCTATATGGAACTAATGGATTGGCAGGAGAATATTGATTTCCCCGAAATTCTATCCACAGACAAGGATCGCATTCTCAAATTGGGTCAACGGGCCAAACGTTTATGTGTCGCAGCATCACTGATATCCATTTGTTCAGCAGTGCCTATTATATCTCAGCGTTCAGAAAATCGAATTGAATTAGCTAAACAAATTGAAATACTGCTACAAAGTGTTACAAATGAAAAGTAAGAAAATTTTTAACTTATTACTATTTTGAAAATTTGAACAAAAATGTCACCGATTCCGATTGCAGAGATATATCAGAGATTATTGATAATATTTGGGAACAAATAAAAACAGTAATCAACAAATATTTACAAAAAGAGAATCAATCAGCAATGGACTCAGAAGTGGAGACCATGATTCGAATGCAAGTAAAGCAAATAGCAAATAGGGATGCTCCAGTACGACAACTAATGTGTAAGTACACATTTTAGACGAGAATGTGAAGTAAGAAACGGCTAACCGTTTCTTGTTATTTTTTTAGGGAAACGTTTTCAGACTTATTTTCGACTGGCACTTCGTTCTAAGGGCGGATTACCACCTCCACCCCCAGGCTACGTAGATTTTAAAGATGAACTTGAATCCTACACCACTGCCCTTAAGCGTGTAATAGCCTATAATCACTCTGTATTTGGTGAATATTTTTTGCAAATACTCACGCAGCGTCAAAATGAAACAAACAATGATAGTATTCGTGCTAGTGCAGATGCTACCACTGATGCCGGACCTTCCACCTCACAGCAATGAATGATACAGAAGTAATTTATTAAGGAACTCCAGCAAATGGAAACCGCAGTTACGGAAAGCCAATAGACAAAACTGTATTGCAGCTGCGTTGGATTACTTGGATGGGGATGTGTGTGAGAGTATTACCGAATAAGTGATTGGATTGAAAACTTATTTACCCAACAAAAGCACCTTTACTGTCAGTATAGAGCTGTGAGAATTTTCGAAGGCAAGAACTCTTACCAAGCAGCAGGATGACATATTTGTCGAGGGACTCATAATTACTAAACTTAAACTTAAGTCATAACATCTAACAATGGTGCTTACAAACAATAAAGATAATAGTTGAACAAATATTAAAGATTTTCTGAGATAAAAACAAATTATTTTATTATAGCATCAGAATCTTTTTTTATTTGTCGTTATAGTAACAAAACCCATTTGGCCATCAAGTCGAAAGGTTGTAGGAATCCTTTCATAGTAGAACGCTTTTAAGTTTAAGAAATTAATTGTCATATTTTTTATAGATTTTCATTTAAAATTATTCAGCCTTATTCTGGACATCAATTTACCGTGAATTTGTTCGCTCCTCCCTTTGAAGTTATTCAGAACCAGAACTCGAAGCGAATTTGTTCGCATTTTCACTTTCTCCTTATTCTGAATCAAATTCGAAAGCGAAAAAATCCGTTTTGGGGGAAATTAGTTATTCTTGATTACAGGGAGTAGTAGTATGGAACTCATGAACAAATTAAAAAAACTATTTTTTCTACAGCTCCACATTGTACTCAAGATTTAACTAAGAATGTTGCAATTTATATTTATAGGTTTTATAGGCAGGGAACTTAAAAATATTCAGCTTATTCTGAACAACATTTTCCTGTGAATTTTTTCTCATTCTCGCTTTCGCCTTATTCTGAATGAAGTTCGAAAGCGAAAAAATCCGCTTTGGGTAAAAATTAGGTATTCTGGATAACAGGGAGTAGGAGAATGAGATGAAATTTTGTGCGAAATATTTCGCTAATAAATTCAAAGGGAGCTGACTACAAAAACATAAGTAATAAATATTTTTATGAAAAATATGTACACAATACTTATTCTATGACGATTTAGAATATTATAAATTATAGCAAATTTTTAACTGGAAAACAACAAATAAAATGACATTGCACTATGGGTAAAAAGTATGATTTTTTGGCATAAAGTCAATTTTTTTTTGTTTTCATATTTTGAAATGTAACTGATTTCCTAAATGTAGACATCCATATTAGAAAAAAAACATTCAATATCAATGGGGGTGGCAACCCTTTTTTTGCTGGCGAGCTTTAAAAGTCAGAAGTTTGAAAGTCACATTGTTTTGGTACAACTGGCGGTAAAAATCAGCTAAGTTCGAGTGCTTGTAATTAGACAAAATTGAAAAAAATTAAAATGTATAATTATGGAAAACGTTAGTGCAGGTATGTAAAATAAAGACGAGATGCCCTTTTTGTCATATTTGTCTGTTGTTGTAATACTGTGAAATTTTTTGGTTATGTATAACTTTATATAAAATCTATAAATTGTAGTTTTGTTCCGTGGAGTGTAACTTGTGAATGGTAAAGCATTGCAAAAAGGTGTAAATGCCAAGTTATTAACAAAAGTGTGTTAATTAATGGGTAACTAGCCTTTTTTGTGCCAACTCGAGTTTTTTACTGATAAACATGTGTTTGCCCATGCAGCGCTTATTGAAATTTGGAGCAGCAAAATCGCTCAGAAGATTCACTTATGAAATATGTGTTGCAGAATATCAATAATATCAGTTTAAATGAAGACCAAATGCGTTTGATATCGAAACAAGTTAAAGATTTTGATAGTTATATAAAAAAAGCATTTGCCAAAGTTCAACCGTAAAAGTATAATTATAGTAATGGATGAGCAGTATGTTTCCCCAAATAAAATAGGTCGCCCAAAATTAAATTATGAACATGCTGGACCTAGGCTAAAAAGGAAATTAGCCTCCGAAGTTTCTTCACAAAATATGCTATATCATTGCTGCTACGGTTTCAGCCAAAATATTCAACGACAGAGACATGGCCTTTGTTTTGAATAAATCAGTCACTAATGGAAATATAGCCGAAGTAAGGAACAAACATTTTGTTATATGCAGTTATATGAAATAGTGCCCCAAATCATATGAAAATAGGTAGGCCATCTTCGGAGCATACAAATTGTATACAAACCAAATTTCACTGCAATAGCTTTATAAACAAAAAAGTCGGGACAAATCGGTCAGATCGGCTATATGGTAGCTATATGAAATAGTGCCCCAAATCATATGCAAATTGGTAGGACATCTTGGGAGCATAACAAATGTATACAAACCAAATTTCACTTCAATAGCTTTATAAACAAAAAAGTCGGGACAAATCGGCCAGATCGGCTATATAGCAGCTATATGAAATACTGCCCCAAATCATATGAAAATTGGTAGGTCATCTTGGGAGCATAAAAAATGTATACAACCCAAATTTCAATTCAATAGCTTTAAAATTAGAGTTTATGCCAAAATAAACGTAAAAAACCATAGTGCATTGGAAATCCTATTGATAACAATACATGCTGAACCAATTATTGCCAAGGAATGTATGGAGGTAATAAGGAATATTTAAGTCGAGTTTGACGCATTTTGGAAGCGAAATACAACCATTTTGGGTGAGTATCTGTCTCTCTGTCTCTCAAGAAAAAAAAAATAAAAAATTATGGAAAAACCAAATTAGCCTGATGAGCCGCTTAACAGTGAAAAACTTAAATAAAAATTATGAAAGAACAAAAATAAAGCTACAAAAAATATATTTTTTAAATTATCGTGTGCATCATTTGAAGGAAGAAATAAAGGAGTAGAAGCAAATCATAACCTAACAGGCCACTTTATGAATTTGGGGAGATGAAATATCGAAATTAAATAAGAAGGCGCACCATTATGTGGTGAAATAATAAACTGCGAATTAATTTAATTCAATCGCAGATTTCTTCCCATTATTCGTTGTTTTTTGACATAGTTCAATTCGGTTTTTGCTATCATTAAAACATTTTCACATTTTCTTTTAATTACAAAGCAGTTTTACGGTGGATTCTCTTCATTTAAAATTTCTATTGTTAGAAATTTTAAATCTATATATATAAAAGAGCTTAGTGTTAAGTGAGTGAGTGAGTGAGTGAGTGACTGACAGATCATCGCCCAGACGAAACGGCTAAAGCTAGAAGCTTGAAATTTTGAGTGTGGGTTGGTGTTGGTGTGTAGGCGTGAGATAAGGCTGGGTTTTTGGAAATTCGAACTAGAAGGGTACGAAAAGTACTAAAATGTACCAAATATGGTACCCTTTGTATTAGGCGAACGGGAAGAGCTAGAATTCTGAAATTTGGAATGTGGGTCACTGATGTAAAGTTAGGAAGATGTACAAAAGTGTTTTTGGAAATTCGTACTAGAACGGTACGAAAAGTACTAAAAAGTACTAAATGTGATACCATTTGTATTTGGCGAACCGGTAGAGCTAGAACTCTGAAATTTTGATTGGTGGTCGCTGAGTGTAGGATAGATGTACCAACAGGTTTTTGGAAATTCGAACTATAAATATCCGAAAAGTACTAAAATGTACTTAATTTTGTACAATTTCGTAGCATGTGAATTGATAGAGCTAAAAACTTGAAATTTGAAATGCGAATTAGGGATGAGATGTAGAGTCCATTTAAGGAGATGGTTTTGGAAGCGTGTACTCATGCGTACGAAAAGTACTATATGGTACTATATTTGGTACAAGTTTAATTTGGAGATACAAATCGAGCTGGAATCCTGAAATTTGAAATTAACATTACCGTCGGAGTGTAGGACTGGTAATGTACGTAGTTTTGGAATTTTTTACCAGTTTCAGTAATTTATATTCATGGGTACTAAATGGTACTAAATTTGGTACAATTTGAATTTTATGCGAACCAATAGAGCTAGAATCATGAAATTTGGAGTCAGGATCACTGTTGGGGTGTAAGATCGAGATATGTAGGAAGTTTTAAAAATTTTTACTAATGTGTACTAAATTTGGTACAATTTGAATTGTGGGTGAACCGACAGAGTTGGAATCCTAAATCTTGGATTTAGGATCACTCTGGGGGTGAAAGTTTGGGTTAAGTGGGACGTTTTGGAAATTCGTACTACTGTGTACTAAATTTGGTACAATTTGAATTGTGAGTGAACCGAAAGAGTTGTAATTCTGAAACTTGGATTTAGCATCTCTGTTTTTGGTAAGTAAGAAGTTTTCGAAATTCGTACTACTGTGTACTAAATATCGTACAATTTGAACTGTAGGTGAACCGAAAGAGTTGGAATCCTAAAACTTGGATTTAGGATCACTGTGGGGGTGTAGGATTGGGGTATTTAGGAAGTTTTGGAAATTGGTACTACTATGTACTAAATTTGGTACAATTTGAATTGTGGGTGAACTGATAGAGCTGGAATCCTGAAAATTTGTGTTAGGATCACTGTGGTGGTGTAGGATTGGGCTATGTAGGAAGTTTTGGAAATTCGTACTACAGTGTACTAAATTTGGTACACATTGAATTGTGGATGAACTGATAGAGTTTGAATCCTGAAACATGGATTTAGGATCACTGTGGGGGTGTAGGATTAGGGTATGTAGGAAGTTTTGGAAATTGGTACTACTGTGTACTAAATTTTGTACAATTTGAATTGAGGGTGAACCGATGGAGTTGGAATCCTGAAACTTGGATATAGGATCACTGTGGGGGTGTAGGATTGGGGTCTGTAGGAAGTTTTGGAAATTCATACTACTGTGTACTAAATTTGGTACAATTTGAATTGAGGGTGAACCGATAGAGTTGGAATCCTGAAACTTGGATTTAGGATCACTGTGAGGGTGTAGGATTGGGGTCTGTAGGAAGTTTTGGAAATTCGTACTACAGTGTACTAAATTTGGTACAAATTGAATTGTGAGTGAACCGATAGAGTTGTAATCCTGAAACTTGGATTAAGG